CTTATGTGCCCTCACAGAGCTTGGGGGCTAACCAGAGGGAAGGAGTCCATATATTTGGAGGTTAAATTGTGGAATGGACGTCTAATAATAAATGATAACAATCAATAGCAAATGTTTAGCTAGTGATTACTATGTGCAGGGTACTGTGCTAAATAAGCTCTTTACAAATATCTCATGTGGGACAGACCTAAGATGGTGGAAAAAAGACAGGGACTCACCTGAGCTCTCCTAAATTCCCCTCCAAATAACAGTGAATAATGCCCCCAAACAAATGCTGGAGCAGCAGAACCCACAAAAGGACAATGAAACAACTTTCCATCCCAAGACAACTTAGGTGATCAGCAGTAAAGGTCTGTCACACAAGGGTGAGAGTGGAGTGCAGTCCAGTGCAGGCCATGCCATCCAGATCTGGCTCCAGAAAACCAAGAGCAGGTCTTGGGAACAACCGAATTAGTCTTAGTAGTGACTGCTTCCAGAGCTCTCAGCCAACAGATGGTAAGGGGATCAGAAAAGTGGTCAGAATATTATAGGGGTCCCTTTGCTGGCACTGGGGGCAGGACTCAGTGGTGTTGTCCGTACTTGGATCCAAGCTGCAGTCCTGCGTGGCAGTCATAAGATAAGGAGCACTAGGAATATGCCTAGTTTCTGCCATACCATTTTCCAGTTTTCACAGCAGTTTTTGTCAAATAATGAGTTCTTATCTCAGAAGCTAGAGTCTTTGGGTTTATCAAACAGTAGATCATTGTGGTCATTGACTACTGTGTCTTGTGTACCTAATCTATTCCATTGATCCACCACTCTGTTTCTTAGACAGTACCAAATAGTTTTGATGATTGCTCCTTACTTAACTTCTTCATTCTGCATCACTTCATGCAAGTCTTTCTGTATGGATCATGTCAGTCACTTCTTACAGTGCAGAAATATTCCATTGCATTCATGTATTCCAATTTGTTTATCCATTTCCCAATTGATGGGCATTTCCTTTCCTTCCAGTTTTTTGCTACCATAAAAAGTGCTCCTATAAATATTTTGGCATGTGTAGGAGCTTTCTTTTATCAGTGACTTCCTTGGGGTACATATAGATCAGGAATTCTTAGCCTCTTTTGTGTCATGGACCACTTTGGCAGCCTGCTGAAGTCTCTGGACCCTTTGTTTTTAAATCCATAACATGAAATGCATAGGATTGTAAAAGGAAGGATGTAAATTACATTGGAAAGTAATGGAAACTAATTATATTGAAGTAAAGATGTAAATATTTTCTCATCCAAGTTCACAGAACCCCTGAAATCTATCTACAATGCCCTTGCGGCCGTGTGGATTCCAAGTGAAGAATGCCTGTTCTAAGGGATTGTCCATTGAGGAGCTAGATGGAGAATTATGAAACACAAAGAGGACAATGAGAAAGGTTGGTAGGGATGAATCAGGAGATTGCATGACTTTGAGGAGTCAGGCTAAAGTTTAAAGGAAAGCAATGGTTAGAACAAGTAAGATGGTTTTATGGTAGTATTCTGGAGTGTTTGTCCTGGTTATCATATGACTGATAATAGCCCCTCATTTTTATACTTTTATACTTTATAGTATACTAACATACTACATGGGAGCATGGCTCTTCACAATAAAACCTATTAAAAACAGGGAAAGTATCATGTACCCTCTGCCTCTAACACATTGAGGACAATGAGACTCAGAGAAGTGAAGAAATTTTCCTATAGAACTAGAACTGTTGTTTGGTCATTTTAGTTGCGTCTGACCCTTTGTGACTCCATTTGGGGTTTTCTTGGCAAAGATAATGGAATGGTTTAACATTTCCTTCTCTAGCTCATTTTACAGATGAGAAAACTGAGGCAAACAGGGGTAAGTGATTTGCCTAGAATCATGTAGCTAGTAAATATCTGAGGCTAGATTTGAAATCAGAAAGATGAGTCTTCCTGACTTCAGACCTGGTGTTCTATCCTCTAAGCCACCTAGTTGCCCCAGAACCAGAACTAACATGGGGCAAACAGGACTTTGTTCCAGGGCAAAATTTGGCAGGGGTAGGAACAGTGCTTACTTTTACTGGATCATAGATTTAGAGTTGGAAGGTATCTTAAAACCATCCTTGTCTTCCTAATTTTTCAGATGAAGAAACTGAGATACAGAGAGGTTAAATTACTTGCCCAGTATCACATAGCAAGCTTCTGAAATAGGATTTGAATCCATGTCTTCTTATCTCTAAGTCCTTTGACATATCCTTCATGCTTTGCTTTCTCTTTGTGGTATCTACTTCTGCTTCATTTCTTACTCCTCTGCCATTCATACCCTGTGCCATTCTTTCCACAGGTCTTGTTAGAGCATTAGTAGGGCTCAGGGCTGCATAACCTCTCTATCCAGCTACATAAGCAATGGGTGCCTGATTATGTCTTGCCTAGAACCCACTCTCCCCAGTGCCTACAACTCAATTCACTCCTCCTTAATGCAGATTCCACCCTCCAAGTTATGTTTGGATGCTCGTCTCTCAATGACCTTGAACATGGATGTGACTCTGAGCAGTGGCACTCAAGATCCCTTTCTTCTCAAATTCACTTCCCAATACACCACAGCCATTTCAGATATACCCAGTAACTGCTCCATCACGTCATCTTTCTTCCCTACCTGTTACACTTCTCTCACTGAAGAGCCATGTCACATTCCAGCACAAACACATCATGGAAGTCATTCCCTTCCCTCGCTTGAGGGCAGCAGCAGTGGAGTATAAGGTTCGGTGAATAATGTCATCACCAAACTGGAGGCCAGGTGACTGAAAGTTATTAAAAATTTTTGTTGTTCAGTCATGTCCGACTCTTCATGATCCCATTTGGGGTTTTCTTGGCAAAGATATTGAAGTGGTTTGCCATTTCCTTCTCCAGCTCATTTTACAGATGAGGAAATTAAGGCAAACAGGGTTAAGTGACTTGCCCAGGGTCCCATAGCTAGTAAGTGTCTGAGGCCAGATTTGAACTCAGGAAGATGAGTCTTCCTGACTTTAGGCCGAGCAAACTAAATTTGCTCCAGTTGCAATTTCATCTAGTTGCAGTTCTGAAGGAAAGGGAAAGAGAATCAAGACAGATGTTCTACATTGGAGAAGGTGGGGACATGTAGCCTAAGAAGGTGCCTTGAGTCAGTCACATAGCTAATAAGTAAATGAGGCAGAATCCAGTCTTTTCTTCTTGACTCAAATCCAGCACACTAGCCACTGTGCCAGCATAGTGCCTTTCACATAGTAAGCATCTAATAAATATTTGTTGAGCTAAAATGAATTGCACTGAACTGGATTTGTTTGGTTAAACTATCCAATTTTTAATTTACCGATATTGGAGGTATAATTTTCAATTGGCAAGGTTTCCAAACTTTTAAAAATAACAGTATTTGTTGCTGGTCAGTTGTATCTGAGTCTTCCTGACCCCATGGGGCTTTTCCCCATGAGGTTTTCTTGGCAAAGATACTGGAGTGGCTTACCATTTCACTCTCCAGTGTGTCCCCATTTTACAATTGAGGTGCTGAGGCAACTTAGGAGTTAAGTGACTTGCCCTCAAGCGAGGTTTATAGAGCAACATAGGGGTATGCTGGTATGCTGGCAAACACTTAACAACTGAACTTCTAGAAAGAAAAAATATATTCACACACACACTATTTAATATGCTTTGGTTTAAGTCTAGACAATCAACAAAACAATAAGTCAAGCCCTGATTTGTAGTGATTGTGATTCCTGTAATGTTTCCTGTAATGTAACAATTGGCTTTTGTAAGGCAGTTAGTGATGGCCCCTCTATGTTATCTCCCCCTTAAATGTACACTTCTGGAAGCAGAGATTTGTGGGGTTTTTGTTTGTTTTGGCTTTTCTATTTATCCCTAGTGCTTAGCACAGTGCTTGGTTACCTAGTAAGCACTCAATGTTTGTCCCTGACCACTTACCACTTGAGGGTTGGGATTGTTTCACTTTTGCTTTTTTATCTCTTGAGCCTAGCCCAGTGCCTGACACATAGTAGGTGCTTAATAAATGCTTGGCTGATTGATCCATGTGGTCTCCCAAAAGGGAGGAGAAATCAAATGTGGGAAGACAAGAGGGTAGGTTGACTTTAGGGTACTTGAGTTTGTCTAGAGTAGGTTAAGGCTCCTAGATCTAGAACTGGAAAGGTCCTTAGAGTTCATCTAGTCTCCCATTTTACCTATATGGAAATTGAAGCCAAGAGAGGTTAAAAGATTTAACCAAGGTCACACAGGTAGTAAGTAAAGAGTCAGGTTTGAACTTAGGTCCTCTGGTTCTAAGTTCAGCATTCCTTCCACTGCTCCATACAGACAGAGCTTCTTGGCTTCCTCATCTATAAAATGGGGATAATTATAGCACCTATTTCATTGTTGCTGTGAGGACAGAATGAAATAATACATGAGAATCACTCTGCTACTTAAATTGCTACATAAATACTATCATCATCATTATCATTATTAATACAGCAGCTTTGCTGAACTTTCCTCATAGCACCCAATACTGACAGAAAAGCTGGAGGCTCATGAGAGTAATAGCATCATAGGCAGGCAGTACCAGTGGCCCTATCAGACTGACTGCTTTACTTTCTGCCTGGATATATTATTAAACATCCTCCTTTGAGTGAAAAATATATCCTTCTTAAAGAGAATAAGTCAGAAAGAATCACCATAAAGTCAAGGAAACCTTATGCTTCGTTTGGTTATAGTGTTTTGGGTCTAGGAAATATTCTTTCCTGGGAATGAAAGGGGAAGAGAGGTGTGGAAAAGCTGGTAAAAAGGGACCAGAATATGTCATGTTGGCAGGTTATTAGCTTGCCCTTAATGGAGGAATGTCTAATATTTTAAACAACCACAAAAAAGAAAGGGATGAACAAACAAAAACACTTTGCTAAAGATACCTAAGTCAGAACAGGGATTCTGGTGTTATACATTGGTTTTCAATTAAAAAGTTCAAAGGTAAAAATACAACTTCTAATATTGCTATTGATACATGTATTGTATATTTATTATCAATCAGTCTATAATCACCTTCAATGATGGTCACCATTTCAATATTTTGATGTATCTGCAGTCTTACTGATGTGGAGACTTCCTCTCTAGTATATATCACAACCCATCAATACCTTCTTGCTCCATTTCCACATCCTCTCTTAAGTTTTCCAGAGGACCCATCCAACATACTGGAAGCTTTTTTTCTGTTTCTTTGACTGTTCCAGGGATATCCTGAAATTAGGATTTCCATGCATTCAATCAGAAAAAAGGCTTGTTTCTTGCCTTAACTTTTCCCTCAGACTGTCACCATCTTTTCTGAGTTCTGATTTGGGGGTGGAAGTGAAACAAGGTTCCTCTGAAGGCCTCAGTTTGCCCATCATAGACAACGAAGTCCCAACAGACAGGTAGTGGTTTCCTGCAGCCCTCCAGAGCTCCTGAGGCCCTCCACATCTTAAGCCTGCAGAAGACACCCCTGGTAGACTGTACTGACTACTGTTACAAAGGCCTGTGCTATGCTGTAAGTGGTTGGTTGTACTTTTGCCTAATATTGGGCTGATGTTTGCCACAGTGACAGGAAACAGTTTTGATGCCGAGTGATTAGAGTCAGACTTGGATTGCTGATTCTTTTCTATTTCCACTTTCCTGTGGGAGACCTGGGGAGATGTCCTAGGCTCCTTGCGATAAGGTGCAGCCTCTTCCATGGTAGCACTGAAGTAAAACATGGAGCTCTCTTTTCCTCTCCCTGCTCCTCCTACCTGTGCAATGGGACTTTCTGTATCACTCTTCTCTTGCCTCCATGGTACTGTGTTTTGATTTCTACAACCTTCTTCCTGAGCATCACGCTTATTCAATGAGAAGTCACCTTGCAAAATGACAGATGCCTTTTCCTTCAGAGGTCCTTCTGGTGCAACAAGAAGCATCATTTTCTGGGAGTGTGCATGGTCATGCTGACTACTTGAAAGAGTGATATAACTTGATGTTTCCAAAGGGTTCTGTTTAGTTTCTGGGACATCTTCAGCCTGAGAATCTTTTTGCCAGGAACTCTGATATGGTGTTGTCACATGTCGTTTCTGAGGTGGAGGGAATTCCTCCTTTGAAAACGAAAGCTGCATTTGTGGGCCAAAGCATTTAGTTGTTGCATAGATGGGTGGGCAAACAGAGCCTAGGTCACCATTGCCAAAGGCTGCATTGATCTTGGACACGTTTCCAGTTTTTAAGGCCAGCTTCACTAGCAGCCAATGGTGGTGCCATTTGGCAGTGGCCTCATCCCTTACAACCTGGCTCCCAAGAGAAGTTCCCCAGTCCATGCTAAGGGAATTCCCCTGATATGATGCTTTGGAGTCTTCCACTGGGTACAAGCCTAGACTGTCTGATGTTTCCTTAACTGGGTTTGCACAATGAAAAGAAGAAGGCTCTTTTTCTGTTTTATCACTGCCTACAGTGCCACAGGACATCCTTATAAAACCCTGCCAGATTTCCGTGGATTTAGGGTGTAGCTGGCTGTAATAAATTATGAGTGAGGCACAACCTGAAAAAGACCAAAAGAACATTAGGTTATTCACTGGAAGTCCTACATCTTCCTAATGGAATGCAGCATCTTACAGGTGTGGTACTTTTTATAGCATTTTGATGTAACTATCAAAAGAGGGTTCTTGTGGGAGCCCTCAGACTGGTATTAATGTTCCCTCCTCAGCTATCCTTGTATTGACTTATCTTTGTGTGGTGAATCATGGACTTAGAATGGAAAAAGTTATCTTTGGAAGACCACATGATGCAGAAGAAAAAGCAGAGGAACTGGAGGGGGAGGTCTTTGGGTTTGAATCCTGGCTCTGCCACCTGTGTGACCTTTGACAAGTTATTTAATCTCATTTTCTTTTCTTTTCTTTTCTTTTTTTCCAAGGCAATGGGGTGAAGTGACTTGCCCAGGGCCACATAGCTAGTAAGTGTCAAGTGTCTGAGGCCAGATTAGAACTCAGGTATTCCTGAATCCAGGGCCAGTACTCTCTCCACTGCACCATCTAGCTGCCCCTTAAGTTATTTAATCTCTCTGGGCCTCAGTTTCTTCATTTGCAAAAATGAGGAGGTTAGACTATACAACCTCCAAGTTCACTTCCAACTCTCAATCTATGATTCTATGATCTGGTACAAGTCCATTCATTTTTACCAACGAAGAAACTGAGATATAGCCAGATTTTGAATTATCCACAGTCATGTAGGTAGCGAGGGGCAGATCGAGAATCTGACTCCAGATCTAGCACACTTTCCTGCTGACCATACTACCTTCCCATGTTTTATTCCTCCAGAGGAACAAAAACTCCCTGAAGGCAGGGACTGTTTTATTTTTGTTTTTGTGTTGCCAATGCCTAGATTAACTAACATTTCTATCAATTTAAGGTTGGTAAATGCTTAACCTATATTTCCTTTTGATCCTTATAACAGTTCAGATGCTCTTTACCCCCATTTTACAGATGAGGAAATTGAGAATCAGAGAGGTTAAATGATCTGCCCTAGATCACTTATATAGGTAGTGAGTGTAGGAAATGTGATCTGAACCCATCTCTTCCAGAATCCAAGTTTAGTACTCTATCCACTATGCTAGCATAGTGCCTTGTACGTATTAGGTACCTGATAAAATTTTGTTGAACCAAATGAATTGTACCAAATTGAATTTCTCGTTGTCTAGATAATTTTTAATCTCCTACTAAAGAAAAGCTTAGTATTAAATTAGAACAGCTCCCAACTTTAAAAAAAACAAAAACAGCATCTTAGGGCTGTTGATTCTGGGATGAATTCTTTGAGAGTGGCTCCAGTTAAATAGCTGTACCAATTAAAGGAATGCATGAGTGTGAGTGTGAATGTGTGTGTGTGTGTGTGTGTGTGTACCTGTTCTTAAGGGTCATAAATTTCACACATAGGGTGATGAGTTAGAAGCTCTGAAGCCATTCACAAACACACTGGTACATGTATTCTAAGCGACAATAGAATCCCTAAAATGAGAAGAGCCCAAAGCTAGTTTCAGGCAGCTCCTGAGGAGCTCTCCAGGGCATGGAATTTCCACAACAAAAACAATACTTCCGTTGAACAAAAACACCTTAATCACTTTTTTGTCAGCTCAATTTATTTTTGTCAGATGTGTTGACTATGGCAATAATTTCTCTAACAGAATATTTTCCAGTCACCCTCCCACACTGATTTAAGCTTCCTGTTTTACTGGTTGGAATTCCTCACTTCAAGTCTATCATCATAAGTAGCATGAGACTTGGGGAAAGACTATGAAGGAGCTGGTGAATCTGAATTTTAGATAATTCTAAAAGATTTTAGAGCTTAGCTGGTCCAGCCCTTTTCTTTTACCAGTAAAGAAGCTGAGACCCAGGAAAATGAATGAACTTGCCCAAGTCACACAGCTATTGGAGCACAGAAAAGTCCTTCATAACCTTGGATAATTCACTTAAGGTCTTTTAAGGTTTCCTTATCTTAAAATGAAGGACTTGAACTAGATGAACTCTAAGGTCCCTTCCAGCTGTAATGATCCTATACAAATATATGTGTGTATGTATATATGTATGTGTGTGTGTATGCATATATAGTAATATACACATATCACAGACATATAGACATATGGTGATGCAGTGGATAAAATGCTGGCCCTGGAGAAAGGAAGACAAGTTCATATCCAGCTTCAGATACTTATTGAGCCTGTCTCTGTTAGCCTGTTTCCTCATCTGTAAATAGGGATAATAATAGCACCTACCTTTCAGAGTATGAGGATCAAATGAGAAAAATATGTAAAGCACTTTACAAACTTTAAAATGCTATAGAAATGTTAGCCATTATGATTACATATTTTGGTCTGGACCTGTGATTTTAATGGTCTGCAAATTTCTTCCAGAAACCAGATGGGTAACTGGTCTGCAACTTACAGTCTTAGAGAACTATCTAGGGCATTGAGAGGTTGAGCAGTTTGCCCATGGTCTTCTATCTATCTGCACACAAATGTGTGTATTTTACATGTACAAATTAATTTCTTTACTACATGAAGCACATGCTATATTAGAAAATCATCTATATTAGGTCATTTAACCTCTCCTCAGTCAGGAGAACCGGGCCCCATCTCTGGCACATGGTAGACAGATACATCACCATCATGGTAAAGGCCGTGAGATTATGTTATATGAGGATTGGTTGAAGGAAATGGAGATGTTTAGCCTGGAGAAGAAAAGACTCGGGGGAAGGGGAAACATGAAAGCTGTCTTCAAGCATCTGAAAGGCTATTATATAGAAGAGGGATTAGCCTTGTTTTGCATGGGACCAAAATGTTGAACTAGGACCAATGGGAGGAAGTTGCTGCGATGCAGATTTTGGCTAATGTAAGAAAAATTTCTCACTAGAGCTCCTAAAAAAATCTATATCTGTATGTATCTCTGTATCTCTCTATATCTTGTTCAGGTATTGACTAGAAAAGAAAGCTTCTGAGCTCCCTTCTGACTGACATTCTGTGAGTTTGTAAAAGTCCTTAGAATACACAGTCTGGGGTAATGGACTTGCGAAAGGAAGGCAGAAAATCAGGTCTTGATCTCTCCCCCATTTCCCAGCTTTCTCTTTAAGGAGGAAGAGTCAGGCCATTAATATCCCCTGACACAACTCCCCACCTCTGTCCCTTCTTTTTCACCCGAGTTATAAGGTTTGAAAGTTCACCATTGACTTTGAGAGAGCCCCCCGCAAGAGGCCTTCTATACTGTATCACCTCCCTCCCCCTTATCAGAGGTCTTCAGGCCAAAGCTAGATAACCACTGTAGTTGCGATTCTTATTCAGGCATAAGTTTACAGAATCACAGTATTTCAGAGTTGGAAGGGACCTCTAGGACTATCTAGTGTGATCAGATAAGAAAAAAGACTATCTGCTCCCTGAGGTTCCTTCTAACTCTTGAGAGTCTGTGGTTGTACAGGAGGTATTCTATGGCTGGGCAATCCCAGAACAACACAGCTCCACCATATGGAACCAAGCAAACAAAGAAGCAGACCATGCTCATTCCTCGAACCCAAGTTCAAGTCTGCTTTGCTCTCTCCCTGATGTATCTTAGCCTGGTCCAGGTATCAGTGCAGAGTTCCTTTAAAGGAGTAGGAAGGGAAGGTTATGAAAGTCACCCTGAGCTGCCAAATAATAGCTACATGTGGTGAAGCAGATGTCTGTCTCTATTGATGTCTGAACCTTTGCTAATGTCTGCTCTGCCAGACCTTGTCTTGCCTCTTGCACTGGTCCTTCTCACATCTTGTTTTCAGGCCTAGTGAGCTCTGCTCCCTCTGCTCCCTCCTCATAGTTACCCTGTCTGGATCCAGAAAAATGGCTTAGTTCCCTAATCCTGAGGGATGTCTGCTCTGTTACTTTGTTGGGCCACCAAAACCTCCCTTTGCCTATTGTGGAAAATGATATTGGTGAAACATCTGCACATGAGTAACTGAATTTAAATATACCACAGTACCCTCCCCTCCCCACCCAAATGCAGTCCTTTGCAACTGCAGAATCATAAGACTGTATATTTAGAGCTGGAAGGGATTTTAGAAGTCATCAAGTCTAGCCCCCTCACATAGATAAGAAAACTGAGGTCCACAGGGGTTAAGTGATTTGCCTACGTCTTAGTGTCACACAGCTCTAAGTGTCTGAAGGCAAGATTTCAACTCAGAGAATTCCTCACTCCAAGCCTAGCAACCGTAACCATATTCATCATACCATGGTGCCTGCCCTATTTCACATTGACTCATCTGTATTTATGTGGTCTGACTCCCTCTAATGGCATGTTAGCTCCTTGAGGACTAATAGTCCCTTGAGGAACTATTTTCTTTTTGCCTTTGTATTTCTGGTACCTGGCATAGTCCTTGGCATATAGAAAACACTTAGTAAATGCTGGCTGTTGAATGAATAGTAGAACATGTATTGAACTTGGAGTTAAAAGACTAAGGTATGGGTTTATATCCCAGCTCTGCTACTATCTATGTGACTTTGGGCACTTTCTAGGCCTTAGTTTCCCTACTACAAAATCAGGGGGTTGGGCTAGAAAATTTTGAGGAAACTGGTTTGAAGTCCTATCACCTGCATGACCTTGGGCAAGTCACAAACTCTATGGGATGTAATTTCTTCATCTGTTCAATGAAGGGGTTGAACTGATGACCTTAAAGTTTCCTTCTACCTCTGTCTATGATGTTATGTTCCTATGAGTCCTTTTGAAATCAAAGGTAAAAGAAAAGGTATATCCTTCTGATACCTATTTTTTGAATGGAATCTTGTGGCCCCAGGTAACTGCTCACATCTGAGGCTCTTTCAGGCTATGACATGGCAAAAATAGCTCCCTTCCTTTATCCTACACTTAATAGTGTCCTAGTGACAATTCTCCCTCTTCTTGAAGTTCATTGAAGGAAACAGAAGTCAGTTTGTTGGGAGAGTGACAGGTGTTCTTACCAATAATAAATCCAGATACAATGCTTGCTGTCATCCACATGGTGCCCCACGATGCTCCCTGCAGAAAATCTGTGGCCAACAGCAAAAGGACTAGGTTCTCTATCAGCATTATCTATGAAAATAAAAGGAGTCAGCACAGTTCTTCTGGCTCATGCCCTAAGGGGCACGCATCTTCCTCACTCAATAAACGATTCCAGAATCCAACCCTAGCCTATCTTCTTAGACACAAATTGGTGTCCACAGCTGGCATCATATAAACAGCTGGAAGGGCCCATGGTGAGCACTCATTTCAGGCTCCCTCCTCTGGCCCTCTGTGCTTATGGTAGAGAAGGGAAAAAACTGAAGTCCATATTGATAAGGTGATTTGCCTAAGGTCACAGGTATAGGATGTAAACTCGGATAAGGCCTTAGAGAATATCTAGTCCACCCCCCTCATTTCTTTACTTTTTTATTTTTAAAATTATGAACATAAACACCAAATAAAATTAACATTTTCATATACACTCTAGAACTGAAAAGGATTTCCACAGAAAAATAGAACGGAAGGAAAAACTTCCAGTCTCTATTACGTAGAGCCTGCTTTTCTTTTTAAGTATATAATTAATTCAACATGTAACTTTCAAAACTGTTTTGCTTGTCTGTAGTTCCTTCTAGCCTTTTTTTCTACTCTTTTCCCACATTTTAGTCCTAGCCCTAGTTCTTCTCTCCCCCCTCATCTTCCCTCTTTCTTCCCATGTTTCATCACCTATACTCTGGAATCATGGTTCAACCACCTAATTTACAAAAGAGAAAACTAAGGTCTAGGTTGCTTAAGTGTCCTTTCCAAGATGATATAGATAGTAAGTGGCAGAGCCAGGATTTGAATCCAAGTTTTCTAATGCTAAATCCAGGGCTCTTTCCATGATATCATGCCCTCTGTTGGGGCATGGTTGTTTGCATATTGCCTGCTCCTTGGGAGCAGGGATTGTTGCCATCTTTGTATCCCTAGCATTAGCACTGTGCCCATCAACTAGTAGGCATTTAACATATATTTACTAACTGAATATTAAATCAGTCCTTGGCACACAGAGGACTTTCTGGTACTATTTATGGCCCACTAAAACATCTGTGTCTCAGTGACAAGAAAGTGCAACATCCAGGTGTCTCTCATAGAACTGCATCTCATGACTGGTTTTTCAGTTTCACTCTCAAGGCCACTGATCATTTAAGAAATGCTCCTGTGTGGGGCAGCTAGGTGGCGCAGTGGATAGAGCACCGGCCCTGAAGTTAGGAGGACCTGAGTTCAAATCCGGCCTCAGACCAAACAGTTGACACTTACTAGCTGTGTGACCTTGGGCAAGTCACTTAACCCCGATTGCCTCACTAAAAAAAAAAGAAATGCTCCTGTGCTTTAGGTATGCCAACAGCAGGTGGTGGTAAGTCCTAGAGTTATACTGTCTTAGCAAGGCAGATGCTTTTCCAGGCGATGGTTCTCTGCTTGAGCTCACTTCCTGATCCCCAGTCACTCAGATGCATAACTATTAATGCCAATTTTTAATGTAAAATATATTTTTAATTAAAACAACTACAGAATAACCACAAATTTAAAATTTATAGCTAAGGTCAAAGTGTTAAAAGAAGTTGGAATAGAATGCTAAAATAAATACTACTCCCTTTCCTCTCTAATTAGGGCCTGTCCTTTCTCTTCTTCTTCCACACTTTAACTCATCTATTCACTGTGGCATCAAAGAAATCTCTTCCTCTCTTCCTAACTTAGCACTCAGCTATAGCTTAGAAATTCAGTTTAGGAATTCTCTTTTCTTTTCTATGAGGCCTCCTTTTCTATAGCCTACTTCTGTGGCAAATGTTAGCTTTAGGACATGTCAGTGAAATGTCTGCTTTGCTCCATTACCTCCCTATCCACACCTAGCCCTCTCATTGTACCACCAAAAAAGAGATGGGCAAATAAAGCGCATGGACAGAAGTTACTGTCACCTCTGTTTTTCATCAATCACAAGTTTTTGTTTTTAAATTTTTCTGTCTTAAGTTTCCTCATCCTTTTTTTAAAAGAATAATTCACTTTGTTTTATTTTGCACGTAGTTTATATTGACTTAACTTAGACATTGTTTTCTCTCCCTTAACCCCAAAACATTTCAGTAGAATGTAAGCTCTTGGCAGGCAGGGACTGTTCATTTCTTTCTTATTATCCTTACTATCTAACACATTCACTGCTTGGAACAGAGTAGGAGCTTAACAAAAGCTTGCTGAAATAAGTTCATTTGAAGAAAAAGCATCACTTACTATATAAAATGTGGTCATTCTATTTCTAGAAGGGCTGTCCCAGAAATTGATGTAGCAGAAGATATACACAGCTCCCACAAGCAAATTGAATAACCTCCAACAACAGGTACTATCTATGATATCACTCTGTTGAGCAACAAGCCAGAAGGTCATCACTAACCAATGAGCACCTGTAAAAAAAATATCATAACAGGGAATTCAGCCCATGAGAGTGGTGGGGGGGAAAGGAGACAGAACCAGGGAAAGAAAAGAGCAGAGATCAGAGCTCTGGCAAACTGTGAAAGATTATTATACTAATTGAGCCAGAGGAGAGATGTGGAACCCAGAAGGGATATGAGGCATAGAAAAAGAGTCAGTCAAATATAATAATATTAAAAATAACAGCTAGTATTTATATAGGGCTTTAAGGTTTACAAGATACTTTACAAATATAATCTCATGTGATCCTCACAATAACTCTGGGAGGCAGGTCATATTATTACCCCCATTTTACATGAGGAAACTGAGGCAGACAGAGGTTAAGGGACTTGCCCAGTGTCTCATAGCCAGTAACTGTCTGAGACCATATTTGAACTCAGATTTTCCTCATTTCAGATCCAGTGTTCTTTCCACTTGTGCCATCCAGCAAAAATTTATTTTACAATGGTTTTGGCATTTCAGCAGTAGCTGTCAAATCTATTGCTTCATTTTCATTTGTTGATCAGTAAAAGAGGTACAAATTCTGGTGTCCAAGCAAGAGTTCTACTTGGGTCAGTTGTGGCTTTAATTCCTGTATTTTACCGAGGAGAATGAGACCAAAATTGAGTTCACAAAACTTAAAGAATACCTGTAATTTCTCCTTAGTAGTCAAAATTTCTTCATGAAACTTTCCTTTAGTAAATGTACTTTTACTTTTATCCTGGGGTTTAAAATTTTATTTTCTTCCCATTTCCTGCAAAAGGGCATTGTTCATGCATGGACCATAATTACCAACGAACTGACAAGACTATTCCTTAGCAGCAGGTATATCCACGTGCGCGCATTTGTGCACACGTGTGTACATACACACGTGGACATAGACACACAGCACTTTTTGTTCCACGGCTGCTGTAAACTTAATTGTTCTCATCCTTTATTCTGTTAGCTGCTGAGAAGTAATAGTTCTGTTTAGAAAGTTATTTCTTTTATTATTAAGAGAGTGGGATTGTTGTGAGACTATCTAATTTGGTCTCCTTGGTTACTTTTTGTAAAGGAGGTCTTCATATCTGCTGGGCTTCAGAATGGGATGAACCATGGAAGATAATTTTTAGGAAAAAAAACCCTATTATTAAAATTCCTTGGTTTCCTTTTCCATAGACAATCAGAGCTGGAAGGGACATAAGAGAGAACAGTCCAACCCCATTATATGAAAATGAGGGAAAATGAGGTGGCCAGAGAAGGGCAGTGACTTTCCCAAGGTCATACAGGTGGTAAATAGCCTGGGATTTGTTTCGAATAGAAATCTTTTGACATTAAAACCAGCAGTCTTGTTGCTACCCTAGACCCTTTCCCTATATCAAGGATCCCTGACTTCCTCAGTATCAGCATGAGGAGCTCTCAGGTGGGAAATTCCCTCTCAGTGATTGCACAGGATCAGAGGTTGTGTTTGAATTCATTCATTTGACAATAAACTAGCACTCTATTGACAATAAACCAGTACTCTATTGACAATAAACCAGCACTCTATCAATCACACCATCACTGATGCTTAATAAATATGAGAACCAATGTTTTAAAACTGTGCCAATGGTATCTTGAATTCAGTTTCTCAAGGGAGACTTCTGAGGATGTCTAAATTTCCAGGGAAATTCTTGATCACTGGGGAAAATGTGATCATGTACGTAGGGCTCAAGAAATATGCTTTGGATTGAAAAGCCAGCACCTAAATATCACATCCAAATGAATTTTTCAGATTTTAAAAAGAGAAAAACACAAGAAAAACAAACCAAAAAAGGCAGCATGGTTGTATAAGACAATGGCTCCAACCTCGTTTTGAGAACTATGTTGGGGAGGGAAGGGAAACAGAATGGTCTTTAAAGGATCCTTTGGAAAGGTTCAAAGAGGGAACTGAGCCTATTTCACTTGAGGTATGTATCTGTGGTTCTATATATGTAATGAACCTAGAAGAAGGTGACTTGGAACTTTGAAGGGACAGGAGACTATGCTATAGGATAAGCTGAAGGAATTGACGATGTTAGCAAGGAGAAGATATGACTTACAGGGATGGAGTTAAATGGGGAGGTGGTATGTGATACTTATTTCTAAGGATATGAAGGGTTTTAATTTGGAAAAGGGATATGACTTGAAGACTTGGCTCTAATTAATAAGCAGCAATGAATAGATATTCTAGAGAGGCAAGTTTTTGCTTATTATAAGGAAAAACTTCCTAACAATTAGATGTATCCAAAAGTGTAATGGGTTGCCTTGGAAGGTAGTGAGTTCTTCACTACAAGAGGTTTTAGGTGATGACTAGATGACTACATGTCACAGATATTAACAAGGGGATTTCTATACAGGTACAGGTTAGATTAGATGACTCTGAGCTCATTTCAACTCTGAAATTCTGTAGGATAGGCAAAAGCTCTTGGGGCCCTCTCTCTACCCCAGTAATTTCCTTCCTTTCTTCTCATTCACTGGCACATTTGTCATTAGGGAATGGAATCTGAGTCTGATGGGGAGTGAGTTAGGTGAAGATTGAAAAGCGTGAAGAGTATTCAATCTGTGATACTGTGGTACTGCGCACCTACTCACAGAATGGTAGCTTCAGGTGTTGCCAACTTCTTTCAAATGTTTGTGAGAAAATCAATGTTCACTTCTGTAGTTTGCCTTAAAACTACACCCTCAATAGCAGGTACCTAGATGATGACCAGTTGCCCATGCTTTACTGGCCCTTGGGTAGAGCATGAGTGTATGCATAGTTTGGTTAGGGACAAGAAGAACCTTGCCTGAGCTATATTTGCTAACTATAAAAAAAAGATTTCCTCCATTGAGGAAAACATGGCACTTTTCCATGAGTCCTACATACAAATTCAATTAAAACTCTATAGTAGGATAATCTATCACATATGTTGAAAGCATGTGTGGAAAGGAAACCTCAGCTCACCTCCAACAACCAAGACCCAGCAGTGATAGGTTTGGGAAAACAGGACTAGTGTTATGATCCTAGTTCCTAGCATAGCCAATCTCCACAGGAGCTGGCACAGGAGGGCAGCCCATGGCATGGAAAGATGTCCTGGCTTCATCAGGCACATGACACGAGCATAAGAGACCAGAGACAAGGACAGTGATGACCAGGACAGGACTGCACTCACACCTAGAAATGAAGTGGTAGAAAAAAAAATAAAACAGAATCCTTTTGTATGCTTTGTATTCTAATTCATTCTGCAAATTTCTTCCACTTTGTAGGAAAGTTTAACCCATTAGTATTTAAAAATATAATAATTAAATTTGCTATTCCATCAAACCCTGTTACATTATCTCTATTAAAAGAACAGCACTAGGTATCCATGGCTTGTTTTGCTTAAAACAGTTTGATACTAGCTTTTTCCTCTTCCCATAAACATATAGTCACTACTTTCCCACAACTTTACTTATTTTGTACTAGCTCTAGGTACCTATAGCTTATTTTGCTTGTATCAATCTCTCCTTTTTTGTGTGCTTTGAAAGAAATACCACCAAATAAACCATAGTGAAAATAGCCATCAAAACTAATTTCTTTCTTGAGGTAGAGAACTTTTATACAAAAACAAGGCTTCATAAATACTGTTCCCATCTAATATTTGAATTAATAACATTAATAGCTCATAATGCACAAAATATTTCTCATTACTATTTTGTAAAATAACTACAAAATGTTACAGATAAGCATTTTACAGATAAGCAAACAGAGATTCAGTTATGTAATCAAATGATAAACATTTATGAAGCTTGTATCACTAGGGATGCTAGGCTCTAGGGATATAATGATGAAAATGAGACAATCCTTGCTCTCATGAAACTTACATAGTATTGAGGGAAATAACCTGTGCATGTAAGAGTTGATTTGCAATATGTACAAAATAAACAGGTTTCTCTGGTAAATCTTGTTTCTAAGATATATAAAGAATTGATCCAATTAAAAACAAAAAAAGAGCCTTTTCCCAATAGATAAATGTTAAAGGAAATGAACTGGAAGTGTTTGAAGGAATAAATTCAAGCTATCAACAATCTTATAAAAATGCTATAAACCACTAATAATTAGAGAAATAAAAATTAAAGCTACTTTGAGGTTCCATCTCAAACTATTAGATGGGTAAAGATGACAAAATGAGGAAAATGACCAATGTTGGAGGAGCTGCGGAAAAGTGGGTACATTGATTCTCTGTTGGCACAGCTGTGAATTGGTCCAGTCATTCTAAAAAGCAGTCTGGAACTATGCCCAGAAAGTCACCAAACTGTGCATACCTTTTGACTCAGCTATGCCACTACTAGGCCTATACCTGAAAGAAATCAGAGAAAGAGGAAAAGTATCTATATGTACAAAATAATTTACACCAGTTCTTTTCATGTTGGACCCAAATTAGAAACGAAAGGGGTATTTTCCCATTAGGAAATGGTTAAATAAATTATTGTCTATGGATATAACAGAATATTATTATGCCATAAAAAATGATGAAATGGATGATTTCAGAGGAAACTGGGAAGACTTCAATGAACTGGTGTAGAGTGAAGTGAGTTTAACTGATTCCAGGGATAGTCACTGGCAACATCTGAAAAAGGCAAAAAGGTATGTTCTTGGTCCCCATGGAGAAATGGCTTAGCTCATGCTTCACAGTCTCTTCTTACCTGGGACTGGATCTTTTAAATCAGCTGCAATGAAAGAATACGTCTGTAGCAGGAGGTGGGGCCCCGTTTGGAGCAGGGCTTCAAGCAGCCGAAGCACAAAGAGATCACCTTGTTGCAGCACCAGTTTCCCCAGCCCAGGAGGCTCCTCTTCCTTTGCCATGGCTGCCAAGGAGGCGTCCCAGTGCCTGAGCAGAACAAAACCCTGCTGTCATTCCTGAAGAGATTAAAAACACCAGCGGTTGCCGGTTGATCTTAACTTTAATACGGGGCAATAATGTGACATGGCAGTTCAAAAAGCTAATGCTGAGAGACCCATGATATCTAGAATGTCGGAGTCAGATTCCATCTGGAATATTGTTTCATTCAGAGCATTACATTCTAGGGAGGATACTAATAAACTGGAGGCATCTATGTAAAGGAAGAGGATGACTAATATGGTGAGAGGAGTGGGGAGACCATGCTACTTAAGGATCAAAGGAAGGAGCTAAGGAAGTTTAACCTGGAGAAGAGAAGGAAGAAAGGACACAAGAGAATAGTTGTCAAATATTTTAAGGTCTATCACATGGCAAATGGAGTAGGCTTCTGCTTGGCCCTAGAGGACACAACAGGGTATGGTAGGTGGAAGTTGCTACGGTAAATTTAAATTTGATATCAAGACAAATTTCCAATGAACTAGAACTCTGCAGAAACTGTAATACCTCCTTCAGGAGGTAGTGGCTTCCCTTCAATGAATATCTCATAAGATGATCATGTAGGAGAAGAGGAAGGGAATGAGCATTTTAAATATGCTTATAAATTATGTTTATATAATTGTATAATATATACTTTATAAACTTATGTAATAAGAATTAAATAAAGCTAATATAAGCATTATCATCTGTATATATTGTATCCCTACTACTAATCACAGATAGGGCAGAGGTTCTTAATCTGCAATATATGGATAAATTTTAGGGCACCCATGAACTTGGATGGGAAAAAAATTACATTCTTTTTTTTTGTAATTTTAAAATGAAATTTAGCATTTCCATCAATTATTTAAAACATTATTCTGAGAATGGTTCCTTAGGTTTTCACCAGACTGCCAAAGGGGCTCATGACATAAAAAAGGCTAAGAACCTCTAGAATAGGGTAGACACTAGGACTCAGGGGTGGGAAACCTGCGGCTTCGAGGCCACATGTGGCCCTCTACATCCCTGAGTACAGCCATTTGACTGAATCCAAGTTTTACAGAACAAATCCTTTTGTTAAGGGGATTTGTTTTGTGAAGTTTGGATTCAGTCAAAGTGCTGCACTAACCTGGTTTGATTCTGCAAATAGGATGATTTCCCTAGTGTTCCTTTGGATTAAGGATGATCTTGGGTTAAGCCAAAGTTCCTTGGGACTAGAACGGATGCCACCATCTGTATGCTTTCAGAGGTGAGCTTCCTGGAACTCTCTAACCCAGGTGTGGGGAAGGCCACATGTTGCCCTCTAGGGCCTCAAATGTGGTCCTTTGACTGAATCCAGACTTCATAGAACAAATCCCCTTAAGAAAAGGATTTGTTCATAACCTTTTTTTTTGGTGCCTACCCAACACTTTGCATTTTTACAATGGTTTTATAATGTATTATAGTTTTTTACCATTACCTCTGCACTTTATCTATCCCCTTCTATACTGAGGTCCATCTGGGCAGAAACTATGTTTTACCTACACTTTGTATCTTCCCCAGCACTGAGAACATCACTTCGCATGCAGTGCTCAATATGGTTGTTGAATGAATGACTGATTGACTGAACGAATGAACGGGCAGCAGTCACACCAGGCTTCATGGACAAAGAGATAGGACATAGATGATAAGGTTCCCCCCACAATCATCCTCTTCCTCTAATCTTCAAGTCTTTCCTTATCTACTAGCTTCTTCTGTGAGGGCTACAAACACTGCCTGGTCTTTCCTGTCCTTAAAAATCCTTCCCGTTTCCTTAAGCTAGAACTCTCTTTCTTTTTATGGCCAAACTTCTAGAAAGAAGCTCTCTACTCTCATTGCTACACTTTTCTCACTTCTCAGTCCCTTGCAAACGGGATTCCAACCTCACCACCTAAATGAAACTGCTCTCTCCAGTTCCAAAGAACTCTGGTTGGCAAGTCTCATGGTCTTTACTCAATGTTTCTTGACATCTCTGAAGCATTTGACACTGCTGACTACCTTCTCTTCCTAGTAAGTTCTCCTCTGGATAAGTTCATTGCATTGCAGCGCCTTGGTTCTCCTCCTACCTATCTGATGGTTCCTATGGCTCCTTTGTTGTATCATCATCTACACTGTGTCCCCTAATTGTGGGAGTACCTCAAGGTTCTGTCCTAGGTTTTCTTCTCTTTCAACACACTCTCTCAGTGATTTTATTAACTCCCATGGGTTTAATTATCATCTAGATGCAAGTGGCTCTTAGATCTATATATTTCTGTTGTAGTCTGAGAGACTGAGACCCCTCAAGGACCAGAGTATAGTACGGGGTCATCTGGAATGAATTCACAAACTCAAGCATTCTTTGAGTCAAAGTGGCAAAGATTAATTGTTATGCTAAACAGCAGGCAAGGATTCACAAGGAACCCGTCATGGTGGGCAGAGCTCCTTAGGGAATTTGCAACCTAACAGGTATGATGCTAAAGCTTATATAAGAAAAGCAGTGGATTATGTGCCAAGTATGCTAATTAGGTGGCAACATACAACTACGTCATTCACTACGGGAAAATCAGGGATGGAGAGGAAGAGAGGGTTCCTAAAGGGTATATTTTTGGTCTATTATGTCTGTAACAAGATAGCTTCAGGAGTTGACAACTATAGCTTGACCTCTGGATTATATACGGTAACTGTGGGCATCAGTACTTGATAGTTCCGCTGGTACAAGATAGTCCTGTTCATACAAGGGAAATTCTACAGAGGTCAGCTTGTTCTTGTAACAGGGAGAGATAGTTTGCCTTAGTGGGCCCACTCATGGGTTACTGCCAGAGATAGGGTCGTTGGGTTGGAGGGAAACTATCAGGGATAGTGCCTTGAGGCTAAGAAGAAATTGGGATCCAAGCACAGGCACCCAAGCACCCCATCATTTCCAATCTCATTTTTTCTCTTGAGCTACCTAATTTTGAACATTTTGAACTAGTTGTCACATAGGCCTTTCAAACTCAAGGTATCCCAAACAGAACTCATTATCTTTTCCTCCAAACCCACTGTTCTTCTGAATTTTCCTATTTTTGTCTAGGATACTGACATCCTTAGTCACCCAGGTTTAAGCCCGTCAATGCATTCCCAACTCCTCACTCTTACTCTACATTTCTTGTCAATTCTACCTCCACAACAACTTTTGCACCTACCCTTTGTCTCCACTCACAGAATCACTTCTGTAGTTCAGGTCTTCATAACCTCTGGGTTAGACTATTTCAACAACCTCCTGAATAGTCCACCTACCTTTCCCCTCGTTATTTCATACTCCAAATAGCTATCAAATTTTTATTTCTTAAATAAATAAGAGAGACTTTCCATGTCACTCTCCTACTCAATAAACTCCAGTGGTTCCCTATTACTTTTAGGGTCAAGCACAAACTCCTTTCTTTCGCATTAAAAGTCCTTCATAACCCGGCTCCAATCTACCTTTCCAATTGTATTATATATTACTTCCCTTTTCATTCTCTGTGGTCCAGCCGAATTGGCCTTTTTTCTGCCCTCTATGCATGCCATTTCACACCCTGCAGAGGCAGAGGTTTATTCCTTTGCACAAGCTACTAAGAAGGGTTCACTATCACATAAGAAGCTCTACGGATTCAGGATTTGGGGGTGGGGTAGGGACTGGGACTGTGATTTCATCAGCACTTAGAACTCCCAGTATTTGCAGATGAGGCACTCATTTGTAACTGATAGTTAGACAGTTGCCTGGGGGTACTACAAGTTTAAGTAACTTTGCCCACAGTCAAACAGCTAGAACCTGTTAGAAGCAGAATTTGAACTCAGGTCTTCCTAACTTTGAGGCCAGTTGGATAGCATTACATAATGTTGAGAAACGGGATTATGAAATAAACCTCTCTCAAGAGCACAACTAGATTTCATTCATTTGGCCATTGCCCCCAAATCTGCCTAGAGTAGGAGTTTACCTATCCCTAGAAGGTTAATCCCTCTAGGCCAGGAGTTTTACCCAAGGAATGTGTGGATAGATTTTAGAGAGTCTATGGAAGTGAACAAGGAAAATTACATTTTTATTTTCACTAAATTCTAACTGAAATTGCAAATTTCCTTCAATTATTTAAAAAATGATATTTTGAGAAGGGGTCCACAGTTTTAAAAAGCCTTCCAGGACACACACAAAAAAAGATATATAATTAATTAGTATTTCAGATCAGACTTCCTTAAAGTCATATTTTATTTTTCATTATGAGTGCCCCAGTTTCCTGAAGGGAATCCTCAGAGAAGGGGAATCTTCAAGGCATGTCCTTAGAGTTTTTATTATAATAAACTGAATTAAAGGATTATGTTCAATAGAGTAGAACTTCATAAAGACTCAATTATCTGAATCTGTGATTCTTTATGGAGTTTAAAAAAATTTCTCTCATCTCCATCTAATAGTAGTGGCCATGGGATCACAGATTGGAAGTTTAGAAGTCACCTAGTCCACTTTGATAAGGACATGAAAGCAAGAGGGGTTAGGTGATTTGCCTATGGTCATGTAGGTATTAAGTGTAATTTGAATTTAGGCCCTCTACTTCCTTCGGTGCTCTTTCCACTGTATACAAGTCGTTTTAATAAATCCTGGAGAGCTACCTAATTTGTACATAAACACAGGACCAGCCAGCGGCCATGGAGTCCTCTTCTGACTTCAACTCTGGTCACATGTAGGCTCTAAAAGCTGTTATTGGAGACCTACATCAAAAGCACCCTCCTGTTTCCTATTTGCTCTTGAGCAGTAACCTATATTCTTTACCCCAAAGACTGGCTGGCCTAGCACTCCTGTGCAGACATAGATACCTATAAAGAAACACACACAAATATAATCTTTCATATATATATATGTGTGTGTGTGTGTACATATATGTGTTTGTATAGATATACATACACATACATATATGTGCATATGTATATATATTTATCACAAACTCAGCAAAGCATAAACAACAGAAAATAATCTTAGAACTTCTCATTCTCAGACAACCTGCAGACATCAATCAGCCCCCAGCTGAAGGCAGTATGGCTCAGGAACCCAGGTTGTAACATTCAAAGCTGGAAGGAATCTCAGAGATCCTTGAGTCCATCCCTTTCATGAGGTTCTGAAAGATTAAGGGGATTTGCTGACACAGGGAGTAAATGAGAGGAGCTGGCTTCCAACTCAAGTCTTCAGTCTCCAAATCTACTGCTCGTTCTATCACAACACATGGCTTCTCTAGGTAGTTCATAGAATTTCACTCTAGGAGCACATTTACATGCATACATGCACAAAATCATCATGTTATCATACCAAGGAGCTTGTAGGCTACTTGCACATGGACTCCCAACTTTGTCTTTCTCAGCACAGGCCCAACTCCTCCTCCAAGCCTTTCATAACAGCCCTTCCCCACAAAGTGATCTCTCCTTACTCAGATTTCCTAACTCACTTTGTTTGGATCTCTCCTTTGTACTTCTTGCCCTTTCCCTGGTGTCATAGTTGTTTTATGTACTCCTTCCCCCTTCTCCCCAGCCCCCCACCCCAGCACTCTAAGTTCTCAGAGAGCAAGGCATCTTAGATTCCCTAAATTACATCAAAGCTCAGTTCCAGTACTATGATTAGAAGCCTTCTAATCCACTTTTGTTTTACAGAAGAGGAAATGGAAACCTGGAGAGCTTAAGTGACTTGCCTAAGGTCATCCAGGTAAAAGTAAGTACAAGACAGTAAAATACAGAGATGGAATTTGAATTCAGGACATCTGGCTATATAATTGGTGCTCTTTCCACTGGACACATTACTCAGAAATTACCTTGCATTTGCTTTGTATACATTTTGTAGTATGGCATAATGGATAGAGAGCTAGCCTCAGAGTCAGGAAGGCCTGGATTCAAGTCCTCCCTCTGCCTCTGTTTGATCCTGGGCAATCACTTCTCCTCTCTACGCTCCCATTCAACTCTCTATTGCTGTAAGTTGCACAGCAGGGGCTGGAAAGGAAGTTCCTCATCAAGAGTTCCCTAAACTCATGAAATCAAAGCTCTGTGGAAAAAAAAAAAGTATGTATTTAACAGATGTTTAAGAACTGACTCAGAAAAACAAGCATCTCTGACTGTCTGTTTTTCAGTTGGAAGACAGAATTAAGTCAGGCCCCAGAATTTTTAAATGGACCCACAATCTTTGAGAGACAGATTGAGAAGGAGTGCAAAGGGGAATAAGCACAAATGTAGCACCAATTATGTGCCAGGCACTGTGTTAAACCAGCACTTTTACAAAAATTATCTCATTTGGTCCTTACAATAAACCTTTGAGGTAGGTACCGTTATTATCCCCATTTTATAGTTGAGGAAACTATGTTAGCAGAGATTAAGTGACTTGCCCAGGATCATACAACCATTACATGTCTGAGGCAGGATTTGAAGTCAGGTCTTCCTGACTTCAGACGCAGCACTATCTCCTTTAAGTGTCTCAGATCAGAAGACACAGGCTGAAGTTCTAGTTGTACTCACCTCTTCAAGAATGGAAGGAAGTGCCAACAAAAAAGTTTGCTCTTTCCCCAACTTTCCCTCCCTGTGCCTCTTCAGTAACAGAGATAAACAGAAATTTAAATTAGGGAAGAAAGCCAATCCTCTGCCTAGATATAACGAATTTTTCTAACTGGAAACTTTGAGACATAGCAAACTTTTCAGGCCAAATAGAATCCATAAACAAGCAGAGAGGGATACCATGTGAACTTGAGGAGCCATTATGTTGCCCAGAGACCAAAAAACTGTCTAACTGGTGTAAAAAGGCGTTTTGTTGATTAAATCTTCAGGGACAAAGAAGGTAGGGAGGCAAGGGTATCCCTACAACTGTTCCCTTCACCATGATGCCCACAACCACCAGCATTACATATATCATAATAATAGCTACATTTATATAGCACTTAAAGGTTTGCAAAGAGCTTTACAAATAGCATCTCATTTTATGCTCACAAAAATTCTGGGAGGTAGGTGCTATGTGTGTGTGTGTGTGTACATAATTCCCCTGAGAGAATGTAAGTTCTTTGAGGGTAAAGTCTTACTTGTATTCCTAGCACCTATCATAATGCCTGGTACATAGAGGCATTTAATAAATGCTTATTGATTGGTTAATTAATTGAATGACTTTGTATGTCCAGTTCCTATCACAGTTCCTTGCACATGGAGGTATTTAAGAAATGCTTATTGAATGAATGAATGGATGAATGAATGAATACAGTAAATTGAATCCCAAGATACAGGGATTCTGCTTGCCCTTACCTTTTCCATATGCCAAGCTGCAGGAGATGCACAATCATCAGAGAACAGCTGCCTTGATGACCATCTGCTAGGAACCACAGATAACTTAGGCCCTGAATCAAGCATCCAGGAAGGAGAGCTGACACAGTTAGCCATGCCCACAGATACTGCTCAGTGTAAAAGTAATAAACCACCGTGCACAAGCCTGCAAGAAGAAGGGGGAAATAAATGAGTTAGGGAGTAAAGAGACCTAGAACTCCCAGCTTCAATATGTCTCAAATATTACTTTAATGGGAATTAGATCACTCTGTCAGTAAACTAAAAAGCAAAACGCAAAAACATGCCAAACAACCATGTACTAAGCACTTCTTTTTGCTGTGTGTAGGGCCTATTAGGGGCTTGAAGAAACACACAAATGTATGACACAGTCCTAGCTTCTCAAGGATCCAAAGATCTCAATGAATTATTCAGTGAATCACTACCTGAAGTTTATTATTCTCTACCTCTCTGTGGAACTCAAAGTAACTCCCTCCTCCAAGATTAAGGAATTAGAGATACCAAAGCTAGTGAACAAAACAGTATTTAGTATTACCTTCCCTGAAGAGCAAAGCATATCTGAGATGTCCCAGATACAATGAAATGTCTCTGAAGTGTTAGAAAAGACTAGATGATATTCTGCTTCCCATCTCCCAAGAATAAAAAAAACTTATTTTTACAGTTTTATATTTAGACATCACAGTACATCACAGTACAAACATTAACTTGCACTTCTGACCCAGTGCTCCTCTCCAAAGTGCTTCCTCTTTGACAAGCAGAGAGACAAGGTTTCCTCAAAATGTGGGAAAACAACTATGAGGTTCAATATTATGATGTTAATAATGCTACACATTAAACTTTATAAAGCACTTCAGCCACAACAACCCTTCTAGGTTCTTACTGTTATCCTCATTTTAAATATAAGGAAGCTAAAGGCTCAAAAGGGTAACGTGATTTTTCCCAGGACCACACAGCTGATAGATGGCAGAGTCAGGACTGGAATCCAAGTTTCTTGATTCCAAGTGCACTAAACCATAATGCAAAGTGGGATAATAATGATAATAATAATAATAACAACAACAATAATGATAGCTAGATTTATAAAGTACCTACTATGGGCCAGGCATTGTGTTAAGCACTTTACAAATATTATCTCATTTGAGCCTCACCACAACCCTGGGAGGTAAGTCAATCTCCATTTTACAGTTGAAGAAACTGAGGCAAATAGAGGTTGTGACTTGCCCAAGATTATACATATAGTAAGCCTCTGAAGTAGGATCTGAACTTATATCTTCCTTACTCCAGGCCCAGTGTTTCTGTCCTGTACTGCCTAGCTGCCTAGGATAAGAATTTTTTTTTTTAAATTATGTGGACAGACCCCCTTCTCTTTATTCTTATTTGTTTGTGGAGGCCATCTCTGGCCCAGTAAGCATCATATGGTATTGGCCAGAAGGCTCATTCCAGGGCATTCCTTGTATGTGAGTGGTATGTGATTCTCCAGGGACAGGTTGCCATAGGAACCTAGGGGTAGGGGGTCCTATAACTGGCATCATGGGGGGGGGGTCCCTGACAAAGGGTATTGGTATATTACTGTGTTCAAATCCAGCATATAGTAAATGCTTAATAAATGCTTGTTGATTTGACTTATCTGATTGACTTCCTTATCACACTCCCAGCAAGGGCTGTTCTTTTGAAATTTGGAGTCAGTCTATGCTATTTACTATATTCCTTCAAGTCCTTGGGCAAGTTATTTCACTCTCAGTTTCCTTTTCTGTAAAATAAGGAGACTATTCTCCAGATCAATGATCCTATACATTTAAGGAGAGGTCCAAATCTCATCGCCATCATTACTCTCTTTTTTTTTTTTTTTTACCTTCCAAACTTGTCATTTTGAGCCTTCTCCATTTTACCCTTAGCTGGAACCCGTTTCCTCTGAGAAGATGCTTAATCTGGGGTCTGGGAACTGGTTTCTAAAAATATTCTGATAACTATACTTCAATATAATTAGCTTCTTTTTGAATTCTATGTATTTTATTATATGCATTTAAAAACATTTTTTTTTCTGAGAACGGAGTGCATAGGCTTCACTAGACTACTAATGGGGTTCATGACGCAAAAAAGGTTAGGAAGCCCTGCACTAGGGTCACTCCATTCTATATCTCTCATCCTACTAATGATTCCAACTCCAGTTCCAAATTTATCTCCCCTCCCCTTCCCCCTTTACAACCTCCCAACCTGCCTTCCCGGCTTCCTCCTAATTGCTACGGGAGTTTGGGAAGAAGAGCTGTGCATTCCAATTCTTTCCCCAGAATGGACGCGTCTCTCAGTTTGCATGGCTAACTAACCCTGGGCCTAGCAATCCTGAATCCCTACGGCAGAGGGGTGGTGGTAGTGGAAGGGATGACTTGGGGAAGAGAGCTGCCGGTGGACCAGTGGTTGATAAGCATGCAAAGGATAGTTGTCTGAGGTCCGTGGCCGAGAAAGAGCGGGAATTTACAAGCGTGCATTGTTATGCAGAGCATGGGTGTGTAACTTGGAGAAGGAACAGAGGAAATTGTTTTGGGGGAGGAGAGGCTGCTTCCAGGTTCAATGAAACTTGTTTGTTTCCAGAGATTGTGCATTGAGAGACTTCAAAAACAAGGGACGTATGGAGAGTTGAGGAAGGAGTGGACTGGTTCCACTGTGTTGGTGGGGAGGCGGTAAGCGAGAGGCGGGCCTTGTCTGGACACTGGAGAGACAGGAAAGGGAAGTCTGCGTTCATAGTTTTAAAAATTAGTCTGGGAGTGGGTTTGCAACTACAGGAACGAAAGGGGTGCTGGTTACGTGGAAAGGGGAGTAAGCATTCTGCATGCGAAGGTTCATGCGTGGAGACCGAAGACTGCCTGCAAGCATTGTTAGACGTTACAGGAACTTTAGGGAAGCTGCAGCCCTGGGGAGGGGAGATTAGGCGCTGGATGCAGAGCCCCGCGGTTAGTCAGCAAGTCTCCCTATTCCCCGCCCGGCTCCGCCGACTCACGCGCGCCCTGCTCCGCCGCCAGCAGCAGAGCGCAGAGCACTAGGTATCCCACGTGCATCCTCAGAGCTTTCCCGAGCTGCAGCTATCCCAGGCAGGACGCAGTGCAGGCAGGATCCAGGACTTCTGGCGCGAGCCCCGCCCCCAACTTGGGAGCCCGCCCAGACCGCCACCCGCCTTTGCTCAAGTTTCCACTGGGTTATCACTCTAGTGGTGGAGTAGGGGAGCAGAAGGGCGTGGAATCCTTAGCTTTGGCTCCTGCTGGGCAGAACGGCTCATGCGCCAATTGGCCTCAGGACCCCTGAGTACGCGATTGGCTGTCAGGGGAGAAGAATTAGGTGGTCCTAGGCTCCTCTGGAAGGAAGGTTGGGGGAGGGGAGGGTTCTGCAGCGGGCAGGGCTCAGGGCTGGAACCTGCAGTTTTCGCTGTGAGGCCACGTGAATTACGTAGTACACTGGCTATTTCAGAATTCATTGCACTGGATCATATTTATTAAGCGCTTAGTATGTGAAAAGTGGAATTGTAGTAGGGAAGATGGGTTCGGAACCTGCCACTGTAAAATGATAGGCATGTAAAGTTCTTCCTAACCTAGCCCTTTCCTACCTTTCCAATCCTTCATGCGGTCTAGTTCTGTAACATCTTGCCTAATTACAGTTCTGATGGGGTGCTTGGGTGCTTGTGCTTGTACTTGAACCCCAATTTCTCCCTAGTTAGTCTCAGAAACACTGTCTCTGACAACCACTCCCCAACCTAAGGACACTGTGCTTAGCAGTTATTCATGCGTGGGCCCCAGCAAGACCCTTGTCTTTCTTCCTGGTGCAGCTACACAAAGCTGGATGAGAGAGTGCTGGGCTGCTCAGGCTCCAGTCCTCAGATCATGTCTCTGGAAGCCTCCCAATTCCTTAGTAAAGTTCCTGTCTTGTGAGAAAGCTTTCCCTTGTTGCAGAGCATTCTCTCATCAAGACAGAGAGAGGGGTACCTTGCCCAGCCCAAGGAGTTTTTTGTCCTTGGCTGGCCCAAGACTCTTCCTCCTGCCAGACTCCCAAGATCCATGCCTCTGTCATCTCCCTCCCTGTCTGGTATACTCCCTATAGTTTCCCAAAGACACCTGGACCTTTGGATTACCTAATTGTTATCCCAGGCATTTGTTTCCCATCCCCTTTTCCATATAAACCCCTAGCTCCATCCTCACTCTGAGCCAATCAGGGCCCAAACAATCACCAAGTGATGCTTGCCCTGGGACCTATTGTTGGGTGCTAGTACAGAGGGGTCGAACCTACCTTATTTGTCCTGAATTCCTGCCATGCAATCAACCTGGAAGCCATCCCAGTCCAGAAAACCAATCTGGAGAGGTCAGTTGCCCTCTTAACATGGTACCAGTGGGCATGTCCATACTCTGTAGGGGAAGATATATGCTCTTTTTCCCTCCTTTCCTTTCCTTTCCTTTCCTTTCCTTTCCTTTCCTTTCCTTTC